GAGCCCCTGTCGCGGAGCCGAGGAAGAGAAGCCGCGTTGCTGTAGGGAGGGGAACCGCTAGGTGGAGGGAAGGCTTAACCGGCAAGGGGAGGGCGAACCAACAGTCTCCGCCCAGGGGCTGGGCGGGGGAGGAGCCGGGGCTGCGGCGGGAGGCGGGGCTAACTGGGTGACGCGCGGGAAGCCTCTCCACAGAGGCCAACCGCACCCGAGGCAGAGCGAGCGCCGCGTACTGTGAGTAAGCCAATTGGCCACATCACTATCAGGAGGCGTGGTGCCAACCGGAAACTAGGCCACGTGACCCGGAAGCGGCTACAGCCTCGGCCGTTGCGCCTGCGTACTTACGCCCCTGTCTCCGGGAGGCGCGCGGGCGGCTTCCCTTGCTCTTAAGTGACAGGAGGATGGGGTTCTGTGGCGCCCTTAGTTGACCCCGTGGTGCAGGATCGGAAAGGTCCGAGCCGCAAAGAGCGGAGTTCGAGTTCCACTGAGACTCTCCGTGCCCCAAAAGAGTGGCACAGAGAGGTGTAACGGTCGGTGAGAATGGTGGGAAGAGAAGAGTGCTACAACTGGGGAAAACAAATCGGCTGTGGTGAAGCTCGAGCACGCGTGCACAGGGCGGCCCCTCCTTCCCTTCGCCCAGCCACTGCCCTAGCCCCGACACTTTTCGCCCCAGGTTTCTCCAGAGTCTCTCTGGGCCTGCTTCACCCGTTCTCGGTGCTGCAGACCGGATGAGTTACTGTCCGTTCTGGGCTGCAAAGTCCGAGCAACACTTCGTCTTCGATATCCCGCTTCCTTCACACGGGGTCGCCCCCACCAGCCGCCTGGGTTCCAGTTTACCCTTGCCGACGACTTGCTCTGCCTGGCATGTCCTTCCTCTCAAATGTCACATCTATGAAGCCTCACCTAAAACTCTGTAAGAACGAATCCCTCTTTCGCCCACATGCCTATTAGCCTCCCCTTAGCACATCGTGCATTTTATTCAGGTTGCATTTTAACTTAGTTTACTGCTTGGTCTATAACACAACTGATAAATATGAGTTGACTAATAAGACTCTAAAATGATAGATTTGTTAAGAGTCGTAATGCTGAGCTAATACTGGGCAAATAATGGATGTTCATTAGTATTATTTTTTGAATGATAGAATGGATGTATCATGTAGTTCAACTCATCTTTTATAGAACCCTACGGGATTAGGTGACCTTGCTTGAACAGCCACGGGTTTCCTCTGTCGAATGATATTCATTCCTGGGGCCAGGCAGGTTCTTACAAAGGAAGATAAAAATTTGCTTTTGTTGGGCTGTGCCCTCTTTTTGGTAAACATAGTCACCTGAATTTTTTAGTGTCCCAAAGTATGAAAGAAATGCTAAATTTTTCATGAAGCCGAATTTAATCAATTTAAAAGACACTTATTAGATAGCATGTTAATTTGTATGTGTTACAATGTCTGCAAAACTAAGATGGTATATAATAGGTATTTGAGGGCATTTTTAAATGCCCTTATTTAACAAAATATAAAAGGTATAATAGCTCCCCTTTTCAGCACTACTATGCTGCTTGGAAAGTTTCCTATAACATACATGATTAATGTGTACTGGAATATTAAAGAAATGGTCGACAGAAAGCACAAAGCTGGCTTTCTGTAATTCTTTAGGCCCCCTGCCCAAATCTGTCCCTGCTACCTGTCCAAACATGCCCCAAAGGTGCTTGGTAATGTCCTATTTTTCCCTTACTACATGAAACAGTTGCTGTCAGCCAGTTCAAAGATAGCTGTAATACTATGAAATGAAAACTCTGATTCCAAATGCTGCCTTTTTCTTTTTCTATGCAAAACATGTTTGTTCTCAAGGTTTCTCAGATCGACACCTCCAAGATTAAACTCATTGGTTATGCTTCTGATGTTGGTCTGTGAATCAAAAACTGAGAACTGGAGACTTACTGGTGACATATTGCCAGTCTCATCTCTGTTTACCTAGCCACAAAAAGAAGGTGCGGGTGGGGGTAGGGAGGGGAAGGAATTATGGGAAAAATAATTAGCAGCTGAAGGCAGCTATTACATAATCTTGGCTGCTTATTAATTTAGCAGAAGGAATGGCTTATTAAATTCTAATAGCAACAGCACAACTCCAAACAACCTAGCAATTAACAATGCAGGGCCCATTATTTTGTTAATATGTTCTCTTCTTTTGGCAAGTGTATGAGAACAAAATTTATAGAAGCAGATGGTCTTTTTCAGTAGATTATAGATGGTTCATTCCCCAGTCTTAGTATTAAGTGATAATTATGCATTCACTGTGAAAGATAAAAAAGAAACACAGTTGCCATCTTTGTTAGTAATTAATTGCTTGACTTTGATTCCCCCAATTTCCAAATTGTAGCCTTTGTTACATACATTTCTTCTCACCTAGTATCTTTTTCATCTGTCGTGTCAAAAGGGTATCATTTTTAATCTTCTCTTTTGTTTTCTGCACAAACCTGATTTCTTGGTGTTAATAATAAAAAATTAGCAAAGTTATTTTATGAAAACTTAAAAATCAGATTTTAGATTTGTTTCCTAAATATTAAAAAAGTGCCCTGCTATCATTTGTGCTAAATGCAAGAGGTGAGGGGGAAATCAGGATTCTCCTTTCTAAACATAAAATTGTTAGATTTTATGTAATTGTTCAAAGTTCCCAAAATAATTTTAATTTCCTATTAAATGTATGATGACCATATGCTTTTATTCCCTCTCCTCAACAGACCGTTAAATGAAGAAAACAAAACAAAAAACCCGGGTGGGGGCGGTGTTTAAAACATCCCCATGTGGACAATACTAAAGAAACAGG